TCACAGATTATCGCCCGTCTCCCCAAAGATATCCCTGTTCTTTCTGGAAGGGCTTAGAGCAGTAGGTTTAAAAGCCCCTCGCCTGAAGAAAAGGAAGCCCACGGAGTTCTGGTAACAGCTGCAATGAGCCACCCGGCTTAGATCTCCCTCCTTCAGTTTATATAATATTGTATCAAGCAACAGGGAATGGATTAGGGGGGCTTTTTTAGTCACATCAAACAATCCTTCATTTCTGGTTCCTCGCAAAAAAGATATAAACAAACAAGCGAAGACAGTCTTGTCCTTAAGCCGGCTGCCATGTTGATTCATTTTATTAGAGAGCTGGCGTGGTGTGGTGGTGACAGTGTCAGACTGAGATCTGGGAGACTCAGGTTCTAGAAGGAGCCGGGGCGGAGCCTGCCGAGACAAGCTTCCACCATAAGGAAAAGAACACACACGCCGGCGGGGTGCCTGGTAGGCACTCACCTCCCCATATATATACATTGTATGTGGCCCTAGTTAGGAAATGTAAAATGCTTGTAAACCGCTCAGAGCGGTATAGAAATTGAAAGAATAAATAAATAAATATGGCATTGCGTGTAGACTAGCCGGGAGATCCTAAGGTTGTCTGGCAGCCTGAAGTTCTAGTTCTTTTAGTGTTATGCAACACTAGGTGGTGGGCTAGATTTGTTTTTAGGGCAAGAGACATTTCAGAGGTGGTTTGCCATTGCCTGCCTCTGTGTCACACCCCTGGTATTCCTTGGAGGTCACCCTTCCAAATACTAGCTAGGGCTGATCTTGCTTAGCTTCAGAGATCTGATGGGATCAAGCTATCCCAGTGACCCCTGCTCTGTGCCCGGAGGAAAGCAACCTCCTGGTGATTCCCTCGCTTCCGGAACTCTGCCGTCCCCAGCCTCCGCCTCTCCAAATCTCCAGGAATTTCCCAATCCAGTGTTGGCAACCCCAGCTAAGATAAATGTCAGGGATATAATCCTGGATCGTCATCATAACCTGCCCCTGTGTCCAGGCCGAGAGATGGACAGTTCTTCTTCCATCTGATTTGGACTGTAATGGAAATCAATGATTGATTGATTGATTGATTGATTGATTGATTGATTGATTGATTGATTGATTGATTGATTGATTGATTGATTGATTGATTGATTGATTGATTGATTGATTGATTGATTGATTGATTGATTGATTGATTGATTGATTGATTGATTGATTGATTGATTGATTGATTGATTGATTGATTCCCCCCCAGGCTGCTGAACTGAAAGGAGAAGTTTGAGGTTGGTTGCAGTTCAACATTAAATTTCATTTTTATTCCTGGGCAGGGGTTGCTTCGGGGGACCGCCTCCTTCCACCTGAATGTACTAGAATCGTGGCCTCGGAAAACCTTGCTGGGTAAAGAGGTTTCCTTTCTTGACAAACAGCTCCCGGCCCGTGCCGCCTCGGCCTGTCTTTAGAGGTGGCTCTGGAGAGCGTTTGTCTCACAGATACCCTGTCGCCGGCTCGCACAAAGATTGCCAGGCAGCTGTTGGAGACCGGCTGGGATGTCTGTGTAAATAAATCAGCAACGTTTCCAATACAGCCACACGCTGGGGCGGCAGGTTCCCTTCCACCAGCATGCCGGCCTGCGAGGCGACGGCCGTTCCCGATTGCCCGCAGTGGGGAAATGCAGCTGGCATGCCAAGATGCCCGTGTCTCAAGAGGAAGCGACGGGGTCGTGCCCCGGAAGTCCCCTTCTCTCTGTTCCTTTCCCGTCTCAGTCACTAGAAGCAAAACGAGAGTTTCTCTCTTGAGATGCCCTGACATGACTAGCCCGATCCCATCAGATCTCGAAAGCTAAGCAGGGTCGGCCTTGGCTCGTATTTGGAAGGGCGACCTCCAAGGAATACCAGGGTCGTGATGCGGAGGCAGGGAATGGCAAACCGCCTCTGAAACGTCTCTTGCCTGAAAAGCAAGCCTAGCTCGCATAACGCTTAAAGAGCTAGAACTTCTGGCTGCCAGACAATCTTAGGATCTCCTGGCTATTCTACACACAATGCCATACGAATCGTCATCATCATCATCTCTTGAGATGGTAGCATAGAGCATTGGTAGGGTTGACAAACTGTAGGTGGCATCCAGTGCTCCCTCTAAGCTGTGGAGTCCTGTGAGCGAAAATTCTACCTTGTGAGCTACTGGCAGTAAAGTTGTGAGCGAGCGATTTGGCCGCTGCATAAACTAGTTTGCTCTGGAGCCCCATCCTTCCTGAGCTAAGGCAAAAATGTGCGAGCCAGAGGCTAAAAAACTGTGAGCTAGCTCACATTAACTCAGCTGAGAGGGAACACTGATGGTGAACTGAGAGCCATTGGGGTGTAGTGGTTAGGAGCGAGGACTCTAATGTGGGAGAGCCAGGTTTGATTCCCCCCTCCTCCACATGCAGCTGCTGGCGTGACCTTGGGTCAGTCACAAGTTCTCTCAGAGCTGTTCTCTCAAGACCAGTTCTCTCAGAGCTCTTGTGGGGAGGGAAGGGAAAGGAGAAGGGAAAGCCACTCTGAGACTCCTTTGGGTAGTGAAGTGCAGGGTATAAATCCTATTCTTATTCTTCCAATAGCCCAACACCACTTCCAGCATAAACCCAGAAATTATGTTGTAACGTTGGCTCTAGGATCTCCTTTAAAAAAACCTTGGTGGTTTTACCATAGAGTTGGGTTTTCTTTGAGAGGGTAGATCCTAGAGTGTCATGCCCAGGCAGTGACATCTCTTCCTGGTTGAGGCCAAAAGCAGTGGCAGAATGACTCTTCTCCCCATTTTTACCCCCCCACTGCCCTGCCAAGGTTTTTTGTGGCATAGAACTGGACAGCTGTGTGTGTGTACACTCGCACGCATACACACACCGGGCTCCAGAACTACCATTTCGGGAAAGTATTTTAACCTTTCCCTGGCTCATCTCCAAAGTTTGTCCCACTTGAATTCTTCTCCTCCTTGAATTCCCTGGCAGCAGGCAGCTCAAGTAAAATGTGCGAGGAGGTTGCGAGATTGTCTTGATGCAGCCTGCGCAAGAGAAGGGAAGCACAATCCACCATATGGGGAAACGGTGTTAATGATGGGGGAGGGGGCGTGCATGGCGAGAGGCGGAAAATTAACGATCTGTATTCATTGACCCCGGGGAATAACTCCTTTATTTCCCTTCGTTGAAGTTGAGTCATTTGTGTGATTACTAGAAAAGACAAAGGTATCGGTGGGCTTTTGGGGCAAACAGAGATGGTTTTTGGAGTTGGAGGGAACCGCTGGATTGCTGCAATAATCTTTCGAGAGGGTGGATGAATAGGGAGCAACCGCAGACAGGGATCTCTCTGTATGAAGAAAAGGAAACGATATGATAATCCTTAGCATCCATATAGCTCTTTCAGGCACTTGTTGCAATCTGTACAACAGCCCTGTTATGTAGCCCTAAATACTTATCTCCATTTGTGGGGCACTGAGGCTACAGGAAAGTGGTTTCTTGCCTAAACTAAGTGCATGAATGAAGACTTGGGATTCCCGATTCAAAGTCTGACCTCTTGGGTGTCACTCTGCACCAGCTCTGTGGGCAACTCACCGGTATTCACACCTTGGCACATGGTTGCTGTGTAAGGATGCCAGCCTCCAGGTGGGACCTGGGGATCCCCTGGAATTACAACTCCTCTCCAGACTGCAGAGATCAGTTCCCCTGGAGAAAAGGGATGCTCTGGAGGGTGGACTCCGTGGCCTTGTACCCCACTGAGGTCCCCGTCCTCCCCGGGCTCCACCCCCAAACCTCCAGGGTAGGGATGCCAGCCTCCAGGTGGGACCTGGAGATCTCCTAGAATTACAGCTCATCTCCAGACTACAGAGATCAGCTCCCCTGGAGAAACAGGGTGCTTTGGAGGGTGGACTCTGTGTCATTGGACCCCACTGAGGTCCCTTTCCTCCCCGGGCTCCACCCCCCCAAATCTCCCGGGTTTCCCAACCTGGATCTGGCCACCCTCCCCCCTTCCCACCCCCTGCCAGTGTCCAAGGGGGACATAGCAACCCTATAGCTATGGTGCGTGATGTCCAGCCACCACAGGGTGCGTATTCGATAAACTACCGGTTGTGGCGCATGGCCATTCATGGCCGCATCATGCGCACGGCCCCTCTGCTCTGCCACTCGCTTTTATCGTTTCTCGCCTTCTTGATCGTCTCTCCCCGTGTTGGCCTCCCCTAGATCTTCCACATGACCTACGACCTGGCCAGCGCCGTGGTGCGGATCGTCAACCTGATCGGCATGATGCTGCTGCTGTGCCACTGGGACGGCTGCCTCCAGTTCCTGGTGCCCATGCTCCAAGACTTCCCCGACGACTGCTGGGTCTCTCTGAACCGCATGGTGGTAAGTTTGCCCCGTCTTGCCTCCCTGCGACAGGACGGGTGCATTTTACAGATCGGCAGCTTTTCCACTCGGGCCGTCGGGTTCCTTGATCTCAAACACAACCAGGGGGGCGAGTAAAGGAAATACTTCTTTACACAATGAGTGTTTAAAATGTAGAATTCGCTGCCAGAAGATGGACCGATGGCCGTAGGTACAGACAGCTTTAAAAGGGGATCAGACGCATTCATGGCTACTAGATATGGAGATTGAAGGGAACCTCCACATTCAGAGGCAGCCGACCTCTGAATCCCAGTGCCAGGAGGCGACATCAGGCTAGTTGGGTCTGAATTAGAACCAGGGAAGCCTTCAGCCTCTGTGCCCTGTTGTAGGACTTCCAGAGGAATTGGTTGGCCTCTGTGTGAGACGGGAGGTTGGACTAGATGGACCCTCACTGGTCTGGTCCAGCAGGGCTCTTCTTAGGTTCTTAGGAAGGTCTGGGCTTCTACGCCCTGTTGTTGGACCTCCGTGTCAACTCTGCCGCCATATTGTTTATAGGCCTAGGGTTCGCCTGCCTGACCTGCGTACTAGTTGGTGCCACATTCCTTTCCCCTTGCTCCTTCCCGTGTGATCTCTGACCTTGTATTCAAGCCTGTGTAGTGTCTCCGCATTAATTAACCGTGAGACTAGCTTTGCTTCCCAGCCTCGGCTCTGTTGGGTCGTCTGTAATTCATTCCCGCCCGCAGGAAACAGGCCAATTGGCCCACAGGTGGGGGAGACCATTCGAATGCCCTATATCTCTATATGCCTGTCCTGTGCTAATTATTTAACAGTGAACATGTTCCTGCAACCATAGTACTGACAATAAAGTATAACCTTCTTGGAAGCTTGTGCTCAGTTGTTTGACTGTGGGTCCTGGCATTCCAGATGCTCTGTTTGGCCACTGTGTGAGACTGGATGGACCACTGGTCTGATCCAGCAGGGCTCTCCTTATGTTCTTAGGAAGGTCTTGCCTCTCTGTCCTGTCGTTGGACCATCTGAGAAACTGATTGGCCCCTGTGTGAGACTAGATGGACGACTGGTCTGATCCAGCAGTGCCCTTCTAATGTTCTTAAACAGAGAGTTCCCTTCTAAACCTGCCATGCAAAGACAGATCGATATAGTATAGTATTAATATTAAAGGCTATTTTATGAATACAAAACACGCCCAAAACACAAAACACCATGCACTCTGTCTATCCGTAAAATGACATTGAAGTCCTAAACGGAATCCCGAAAACGCTGGCAATTGTATCTTCACTTGTAGCTTCAAAAATTCATGGCTTCTTGTGGATGTTGATACAGTATTTATCTCCGTGGGGCTATTCAGAGACTCAAAAATGAACTCCAAAGTGTGGGAAATCTTCACAGCTGAATAATCGCCTGGGAGGGCCGGTGCACTTACACCCATTTCGAAAAGCTTTTTAAAGTTGTGAGTCACTTAAAACATCAGAATTGCTGTACGGCGGTGAAGTAGATACCTTGTAAAGCATGCCTACTCTTTAAAAAAACAAACCCAGAACCTTGAAGCGGCGCATCCATTTACAAAGTCTTGTGTCAGCCATTTCCGCTTAATTTGGCTCGCAGTGATTCCCTGATCTTAACATCGTGCTTCCCCACAAAGCAGTTCCTTCCGGGCATCATCCCAAATAGTATGAACGGAGCTCTTCCACTCTGGCCTTGGGGTTCCCTGGGTCTCTCTGATTCAGGATTCTGTGTCCAGTACCATCAGACCTAAGAGGATTGGTTTGAACGGAGGTGGTATGCGAAAACCGAGGCTGTGTTCTCCTCTAATAATTGGACCGTAAAAAAAAGTCTGTGTCTCAGTAAGAAAGCCAAGAAAGGGATTGCACAGAACACAGCCCAACACTGAGCAGAGATTTGTTGGGTGCCAACAGGAGGAGGAGGACAAAATTGGATTTATACCCCTCCCTTCACTCAGAGTCTCAGAGCGGCTTACAAACTCCTTTCCCTTCCCCTCCCCACAACAGGCACCCTGTGAGGTGGGTGGGGCTGAGAGAGCTCTTGAGAGAAACTGCTCTTTTTCAAGAACAGCTCTTGTCAGAACTATGGCTTGCCCAAGGTCATCCAGCCAGGTGCAAGTGGAGGAGTGGGGAATCAAACGCGGTTCTCCCAGCTTAGAGTTTGTGCACTTAACCACTACACCAAACTGTCTCTCTGAAGGGCCTCTACAGTTTGGTGTAGTGGTTAAGTATGCGGACTCTAATCTGGGAGAACCGGGTTTGATTCCCCACTCCTCCACTTGCACCTGCTGATGTGACCTTGGGTCAGTCACAAGCTCTGGCACAGCTGTCCTTGAAAAAGAGCAATTTGCACTCTTAGACTCCTTTGGGTAGTGAAGGGCAGGGTATAAATCCAATCTCTCTCTCTCTCTCTCTCTCTCCTCTCCTCTCCTCTCCTCTCCTCTCCTCTCTCCTCTCTCTCTCTCTCCCCCCCCCCCACCAAACTGGCCCTACAGGAGGCCTAGTTACAGTAGTTAACCTTATCTCATAATTGGCCGTTTCTCTGTTGCCCCTCTGGTTGTTCTCCAGAGACCTAGGAGGACAGCGGGCAGTGCCCTTAAGGTGCCTCAAGTTGCGAGGGCTTCCTGCTGTCTTAGCCACTCCCATTGGCATTCTTTCAGGCAGTGTTTTGCTGGTGGAAAGTGCCGTCAAGCCGCCGCCAACGTTTGGCTACTCTGTAGGGTTTTCCAGGCAAGAGATGTTCACTCTTGGAGACCACCAGAGTTGTTTCCCCGTTGCCTGCCTCCATGCAGCGCCCCCGGACATCCTTGGTGGTCTCCAGTGTTCCCGCCCCCTCTAAGCTGAGTTAGTGTGAGCCGGCGGATAGTTTTTCTAGCCTCCGGCTCACACGTTTCTGTCTCAGCTCAGGAAGGAGGGCCCCGGAGCAAACTGATTTACGCAGCAGCCACATCGCCCGCTCACACCTTGAATGCCAGTGGCTCACAGAGTAGAATTTTTGCTCGCCGGACTCCACAGCTTAGAGGGAGCATTGGTGGTCTCCCCTCCACATACTAACCAGGGCCGATCCTGTGTAGCTTCTGAGATCTGATGAAATCAGGCTAGCCTGGGCAATCCAAGCCAAGGCAAGAGGCTACCAGAAGTGGTTTGCCATTGCCTGCCTCTGCGTAGCAACCCTGGATTTTCTTGGTGGTCTCTCATCCAAATATTGATCAAGGCCGACCCTGCTTAGCTTCCGAGATCTGATGAGATCAGGCTAGCCTGGGCCATCTAAGTCAGGGTCACCACCAGTGCGAATCCTGAGCTTCAATAGCCATCCTCATTCCAGAGCTGACCAGTGTCTCTCCCAGTGCCTAGGTCAGGGGTCCCCAACCTTTGACACAGTGTGTTGGGCGCAGGCACAACACGGCCACTGCAGGTGGCGGAGCCAGCCACGAAACGGCCGCCACATCTTCCTTTCGGTCACGCAGTGAAGGTCCTTGTGTGCCGTGGTGGCAGCTACTGCCCAAACGATGCTTTTAAAAATCTGCACAGTCAATCAAATTTCTAAGGGCAATCAGAAGGCTTACCAGACAAAAGCCCCACCTGCTTCCACCGACCTTCTAAAAACACTTGGTGGGCTCCAGGGAAGAAGAGGAGCAGGAGTTGGTTGTTATACCCCGCTTTTCACTACCCGAAGGAGTCTCAGAGCAGCTAACATTCTCTTCCCCTTCCTCTCCCCACAACAGACACCCTGTGAGGTAGGTGGGGTTGAGAGAGCTCTGAGAGAACTGCTCTTGAGAGAACAGCTCTGAGAGAACTTGTGACTGACCCAAGGTCACCCAGCTGGCTTCATGTGGGGGAGTGGGTGCCACGTTGGGGACCCCTGGTCTAGGTCACTCAGCTCATTCTCAGGTCTGCTGATCTGAGTCCACAGAGGAGTCTATTTTTGAGGCTTCCTGACTGGGCTTTGGAACATTGGTTCCATCTTCCAGGTGACGGTGCGGTGCTTCTGGTCGGGCCACAGCCAGTTACTTGTGCCAGCATGTCAGCCTTTGTGTCCCCATAGCCATCAGCCCTGCACTCTTGCAGACTGATAAGGGTATGGGGCAGGGGTCATTTCGTAGAAAAAGAGGCGCAGGAGCTCATTAGCATAACTTATTTGCATAACTTATTTGCATATGCCACACCCCCTGACATCATGGGAAGTGTGTCAGAAGGCAGCACCCACTGCTCAGGCTCCACTGGACTGTTTTGGATTGCTAGCTTTGGGGGGGGGGCGTGTAGATCTGTCCTTGCAGAGGAGGGAGAGCTTGTACCTGAATGAAACTTGGTCTTAAAGTTGCCACTGGACTGTTTTGGACTGGGACTGGGGGGCCGGGGGGAGCTCTGCAACTTACCTGGCTGCTTCTTGCTCTGACTGAGGGCTGCTGGGAGCAGGGGGCGGGGCTCGTTGCATGTGCCTGCCCCCTGGGCTCTTTACTGCCAGAGGTCCGCTCCTGTGCGCTCCTGCAGGAAATGACCCCTGGTATGGGGGCTCATAGGTAAGAATACGCACACTAAGTTTGTGCAGAGGAGGGCAGTGGATATCCAACGTGATCAAATCTTCGGCGGCACAGGAGACAAGAATGGATCTAAATTTGTACCACCTAAAAAAAGAGTGGGCCAGGTCAGGGCATGATCACAGCCTAAAAATACCTCCACCATAAGCTTTGAGCGGGAGGAGGAGGAGGAGGCTGTTTGCAGCCTCTATAAATGGAAGCGCTGCGGTTTCGAAGGGGAGAAGGGCCGGCAGGCGTCTTTCGAAGAGCTCGCTAGCTGGACTCTGGGGAAGGGGGTGTTTTTTCGGTGTGCGCGTTTTGTCCAGGCAGGTCTAGCACAGGGCAGAGGAGGGGCCCGCAGCCGGGGCGTTGCCCGGGGAGAGCGGAACAGACCTGCTGAAGTCAGACTCCCAACAGGCAATGTTCCCTTTGAGCTGTGGAGTCTTGTAAGCAAAACTTCTACTTTGTGAGCTACTGGCATTAA